CAAATACATATCTATCAACATTTTTTTTAATCTAAAAATCAAATGACTAAAATATCTGATGAACAGAATGAACCGGTGAATGTAACAGAATCAGGGATATGGAAATGGAGCAGACTGACATTTTTCGGATGGAAGGAGGTGTGGGGGCATGCGGTTAGAGATTGGACAGAGATTTTATATGCATGTATGCAGTACCTATGGACACGGAGAGTGGGGTGGCAAAGGCCTGGGGTGGGAACCGGATGGAAGGGAGTTATGGGAGGGGGAAGAGGAACATCTGTAATAACCTGGACAATAAAGATTTTTAAAAAACAAAAACAAAAACAAAATTTTGATTAACTAATAAACTAACAAAGTGGTTCTGAAGTCAGAATGGCTGGGGTCAATTCCCAGTCTTTTCTCCTTTACTAGCTATGGTCTTAAAAGGTTCTAACTGCCCTGGCCGGTTTGGGTCAGTGGATAGAGTGTCAGCCTGCAGACCGATGAGTAGCAGGTTCGATTCCAGTCAAGGGCACATGCCTGGGTTGCAGACTCAATCCTCTGTGGGGGTGTGCAGGAGGCAGCCGATCAGCGATTCTCTCTCATCATTGATGTTTCTCTCTCTCTCCCTCTCCCTTACTCTCTGAAATGAATTAAAATATATTTTTTAAAAAGTTTCTAACCTCTTAGCATCAGTTTCCTCAACTTAAATGGTCTACCTCAGAGAGCTCTTGTGAGCATAAACTGAGTTAATACATAAAGAGAACTTAGCACAATGCCTAGCACATTATAAATATTAGCTTTTATTAGCTTTGTACATCAATGTCTCTGGAAACACAGAAATAATATTTGAATTGAGAAATAAAAGGTTATTATGAAACTAGAGGCCCAGTGCTTGAATTCATGCACCAGTGGGGTCCCTTGGCCTGGCCTGTGGGATCAGGCCAAAACCAGGTCTCCGACATCCCCCAAGGGGTCCCAGACTGTGAAAGGGTGCAGGCCAGGCTGAGGGACCCCACCAGTGCATGACTGGGGCCAGGGAGGGACGCAGGAGATTGGTCAGCCAAGGAGAGACTGTGGGAGGGCTCCAGAGCATGTCCGGCCCATCTCGCTCAGTCCTGCTTGGCCAGACCCCAGCAACAAGCTAACCTACCAGTTGGAGCGTCTGCCCCCTGGTGGTCAGTGCACAACATTGTGAGCAGTTGAACGGCCTTAGCATATCATTAGCATATTATGCTTTGATTGGTTGAATGGACGATTGAACACTTAGCATATTAGGCTTTTATTATATAGGATTGGTTAGCTGAGAACTGTCTTATCTATTGCATTTATCTGTGGTTTCTAAATAACGCTCCTAAGGTAAAACAACCTCATGCAATGATAAACATTTTGTAGCTTCTATTTCCCCAGGTAGGGGAAAAGGAACAGATTTAGTGGGGATGGAAGGTAGGAAAAAGATTTTCAAATCCACCTTTTAGTAACCATGTTAGGGCACTAGAGGTCAGACTAAGCGCCCCCAGCCATTCTGGGTATAGTTACACAACTGAAATTTCTTAATTTATACATCCCAAGATTTTTCCCATTAGGGAGAAAAAATTCTTAGTAATTGCCATTCATATGCAAGGATCACTAGTTGAGAACAACTACCTCAAAAAAATTCACAAAATTAAAATTATTTCTCACACATAAACAATACTTTAGAGGTTTAGAAAGATGTATTAAACACTATTATAAGTAAACTTTTAGAAAGCTAACCAAAATACCCTAATCCGTCTTAATTTTTCTATAACATCGCTCTCATTTTTCATGCTTTTAATCTACACTAATAAAAAAGAAATATGGTAATTGGCGTACGACCGCTACCCTTTTCATTGGCTAATCAGGGCGATATGCAAATTAACTGCCAACTAAGAATGGCAGTTAACTGCCAACAAAGATGGCGGTTAATTTGCATATGTAGGCACAATGCAGGGAGGCGAAAGGGAAAGCAGGATGAAGCCCCCTGCCACTGACAGTGATCAGAAACCCAGGGGGGAGCTAAGAGTCGGGGGGCAGGGCAAAGGCGGCCCCAGCCATGATCAGAGAATCAGGCGCCTTTGCCACCCTGGCCAGTGATAGCAGGAAGTAGGGGTGGAGCCAGAGATGGGAGCTGGGCCGGGTCGAAGTTGGCAGTCCCGGGAGCTAGGGGGCCCTTGCCTGGGCCTAAAGCGGAGCCCACGCCTGATACCCTGCCTGGGTCAGAGGCGTCAGGCCTGGGCAAGGGGCCGATCCGGTGATCGGCAATCGGATGGTGATGCGGATCAACTCCTCTGGCCGAGGTATCAGGCCTGGGCGGGGGGCGGAGCCAGCAATCGGAGGGGGGTTGGGGGTCCCCTGCCTGGGCCTAAAGCAGAGCCCACGCCTGATACCCTGGGCCTAAAGCGGAGCCCACGCCTGATACCCTGCCTGGGTCAGAGGCGTCAGGCCTGGGCAAGGGGCCGATCCTGCGATTGGAGGGTGATGGGGGTCAACACCTGAGGGCTCCCAGTATGTGAGAGGGGGCAGGCTGGGCTGAGGGACACTCCCCCCCACCACCCAGTGCACGAATTTCGTGCACCGGGCCCCTAGTTTAAAGATAAAGGAAAATGGGTATTGACTGTCTCTAAGAATAATAATTTAAAATATGTTAGATAATATCCTTAATATAAAATGAGTAAATACTATCATAAAAGTTAAATTTTCAAAAAGTGGTATTTTATTTATCAATAGGATAAATTCTAACTATTTACCTCCAACATTCTGTTGAGGGTTACTTCCAGTATTGATGTCCAGAAATGTCCCAGTCCCCATGGTCAGCTTCACATCTCCCATCTGGAAGCAGCACTCTCCAAACATGGCTGCCTGCTGGTCGGCCACCTGCCAAAAATTCAAACAGAGACCTTAGAACCCTAGCTGTGGCTCATTTCACTGCATCCCACTGGCTCACTAAATGTATTCTCATGGTTCAGCATCTTCTTTTTTTTCCTTTTCCTTGAAAAAAAAAGTTTGGAGAGAACACGGAGCAATAACTATAGGTTAAGAATCTGTAGGATTAACTTTGGGCAGAGAACTAATAGGCCTTAGCAACTTTTACTCAGCAACCTACTTCATGGGTTTTAAGTATCATAGGAATAACCTTAGAAATAAAAGTCAGAATAAAAATTGTGCAAGAAACCCTCCCCAAGATATTTTGTTTATATCTTATAAGCAGTTTCACTCAGTCAAAATAATTGACCTCACATATTTCTTTTAGTAAAAGTGACAGGTGTAACTCAATACCATACTTCTTCCAATGATACATTTTTGATAAAAGAAAAAGTATAGCATTCTGTTAATATAGTTAAATGTGGCTACATATACAGCAAAATTAATCTGATGAACACTTTCTTACTAATCTTAAGTTTTCCCAGCCATACCTAAATCTAAATCTGAGCCTATCCCGAGATTGAATAAGACTGATCCGCTCTAAATGAAAGGAATTTATAACTTGGGTATTAAATTCCCCTTCCCTCGTTTCCTCTACCTACTGTGGTGACTGTCCATCTAGGGACCTGGTCTATACTTCCTGGTTAAGCCATTACAGGAAATCAAAGGCAAGATATACACAGCCTCTCAATCAGGGGGTAAATCTTTGGGATTCTCCAAGTTATGAATCACTCATCCAGAGAGAAAGTAGAATCAAGAAAGAACCTTCAAACACCAGTAACAGCTAATGTTTCATTCTTCCATGAGTTTCTCTACTGGCAGATGCTGGCTAAAGACTTATAAAATGTAAATACAACTTCTTTAAGTGCCATATCATTGTTTATGGTTACACTGTCTTGAATATAAACTAAGCATTGGTCCTATTATTGTTGTTATATCTCAGAATATCAAATATAAACCAATATTACTCAGAATATAATATTTTTTAAAAATGTAACAGTTTCCTAAAAAATAATATATAGAGAAGTCAGAAATGGCTGTGAAGTGTTTAGCAGTCCTCTTTCCAGAATAGAGAAAATACTTTTGATTATATACAAGGTATAAAGAAAATAAAAAAAATGCTTTAATTTTAATTGCAAGGATCTTTTTTTTATCTCATATCTAATCCCAACTATTCATATATATTCATTTACTTTATACTATACAAGGAGAAAACCTCAAATTTTCAACTTACCAAGGCCATTATTGGTATAGGCACACCAAATATCTCTTCATCCACTGATCCAAAATTGAAGCTTCAAATAAAATTGATTTATAAGTAAGTTATAACTCTAGAAATGCTAATTTTAAAATTTAGGAAATGGTTTTTTAGCATAGGCCAAAAAGTTATCTATATATATAAAAGCCTAAGTGATCATTCTGGTGGAATGACTGGAATGACTGGTCACTATGATGCTCACTGAGCAGGCAGGCAGGCGAGCAGTTACGGGCAAGCAGGCAGGCAGGCAGGCAGGTGAGCAGTTAGGGGCAAGTGGTCCCAGATTGCGAGAGGTATGTCCAACTGCCGGTTTAGGCCCGATCCCCAGGATTAGGATCTGGCCTAAACCGGCAGTCGGACATCCTCTGAGGGGTCCCGGATTGCAAGAGGGTACAGGCCGGGCTGAGGGACTCCCCCACCCACGTGTACCAGGCCTCTAGACATATATAATAAAAACCTAATATGCTAAGTGTCCTACCATTGGACCAGTTGCTATGATGCGCACTGACCACCAGGGGGCAGATGCTCCGACCAGTAGGTTAGCTTGCTGCTGGTGTCCAGCCGATCCTGACTGGGTGAGACAGGCCGAACATGCCCTGGAGCCCTCCTGTGTTCCCTCCCCAGCCCTGATCGTGCACCGGTGGGGTCCCTCGGCCTGGCCTGCGCCCTCTCTCAATCCAGGACCCCTCAGGGGATGTCGGAAAGCCAGTTTCGGGCTGACCCCTGCAGAGTAGGCCAAGGGATCCCACCAGTGCACAAATCCGTGCACCAGGCCTCTAGTATAACATATGTTCATAAAGTACCCCAAACATGTAAACCAAATACTTTTTAGTTTTAAATCAAATGCTTTTTCCTCACTAAGGCAAAATTAATTCAAGGACTATTTTGCTGGTTTCTAAGTCCAATGTTCATTATTACCTTGTATCCCTCACGGGAGGCAGGAGAGAGAGTGGTATTGAAAGCAGAGAAGTAATGAAGCTGCTCCAACACATCTGAACATAAAAATATATCATCAGAATCCAAATTAAATTACACAAAAAGTGATGATTCAAGAAGGAGGGAGAAAACCCTTTACCTCATATGGGTCAAAAAGTCCAGTGGTACTGGCATTTGAAAAATCCGTGGCAAATTCAGAACCTAAATTTACATTGGAAATAATCTTTTATTATCAAGTAGTGTAAACACTTATCTCTAGTTTGTAATCTAGACCAGTGGTCGGCAACCCTCAGCTCGCGAGCCACATGCGGCTCTTTGGCCCCTTGAGTGTGGCTCTTCCACAAAATACCATGTGCAGACGCGCACATACAGTGCGACTGAAACTTCATATCTGATTGAGGTACGTTCGCTGAGGTCGACCCCTTCCAACTCTCCCATCCACACTTGTCTTGTATACTTGTTTCAGATAGACGAGTGTGGATGGGAGAGTTGGAAGGGGTCAGCGAACGTACCTCAAAACAATGTACCTTCCCCACGCTGCGTCTCCCATCACCCAACCGACTGACACCCCCCACTTCTTATAAAGCCACTTCTTCAAAACAGATTCGCCCAAGCCGAAAACCGACTTCTGTGCATGGGGGACGAAGTTTCAATCACACTGTACCTGCGCGCCCACACCTGGTATTTTGTGGAAGAGCCACACTCAAGGGGCCAAAGAGCCGCATGTGGCTCGCAAGCCACGGTTTGCCAACCACTGATCTAGACCATTTATTTGGCCTAAAAGTTCATTCCAAAATATGTATTTCCAGTGAAAAGTCTCCAAAGCAATTTCCCACTTAATCTTTATGAACTTTCATAATTTACAAACGTACTTTCACAGACACTGTCATGTTATAACTCCCAGTTTAAAGATGAGGAAGGAGGTGCAGAGATGTAATATGATCGCCTATAGTTATACCCAGTTGCAAAATGGGAGATTTGGTACTAAACTAAAATTTTAGCAGTCTTAAAATTAAGACTGTTCCTCAGTCATATATTTGAGGATTAACCATAATTTTAAAACACCATCCTCTTCCAACAAATCTGAAATTAATCTAGCTTTACTATAACATGTAGTTAGTAGGGAACCAAAAGGCAACATGCCTGGGCTATAGGAAAGGAAAAAATAGTTAACTTCTACTATTTTTAGATAAGTCATTTCTATTAGTCAAATTTCAGTTACTTGAGATAGAGTTACCAGATCATCTTTACCTTTTGTGAGCTTATGTAACAACCAGGTATCAATAGTCCCAAAGCAGCAATTTTCTTCTTCAATTGCCTTTTGCACCTTAACATCACAACAGCACAAAATCAATTTTAAAAAGCCAAATTATTAAGTGCACAATTAAGTGCCAAACAATAAGTATAATGAAATCCCACTTATGATAAAAATTAATATACAGAGAGAAACAATTTCTAATGGTTCTAAGCAATTACTATAGGGTATGGAACCCTTTGGTTTTAAACCAAGTATGTGTTACTTTAGTGATGAAAGTATATACATTTTTTAAGTTGGACATATAAATATCTCTAACTATAAATAGCCTTAAACAGGAGATGCACAGAATGACCCACAGGTCAAATCCAGCCCCTTGCCTTTTCTGTACAGCAAGTTAAGAATGGTTTTTAAATTGATTGGTTAAAAAGGAAAAGAAGACTATTTTGTAACACATGAAAAGTAGTGTATGAAATTCCAATTCCAATGTGCATATTAAAGCTTTAGTGGAACATACCATGCTTACTTGTTTATGAATTATATTGTTGCTCTGGCACTAAAATGGCAGAGTACTTGTGACAGAAACTTGTGGCTTTAAAAACCTCAAATTTTACTATCTGGCAATTTACAAAATATATTTGCCAATCCTTATCGTAAAGCATGCCAAAGGAAACAAAAGTATCAATGAGCTAGCAGAGAAACTGAAATGCTTGTTAGGATATTATTAACATACTGGAAAATAATTCCCTAAATCGTAATATGTCACCTCTCCAACTCTTACTTGTCCCTCAAGATTAACATTTCCTAGCTTTGTTCACCCAGCACCCTCGAGATAGCTTCTATACAGCCATTATTTCACAGCCTCATTACTTCCCTACTCGACTCCAAACTCCTTAAGGACATTCATATTTAAAACCCCAACAACTAGGAGGGTTTCTGGAATATAACAGATGTTTAAAGAAATGCTTGCTAAATAAATGAGATAAAAAGAATGTCAAATGAAGACATTTAAGATGAATTATACTTTAACAGAAGAATCAATAAAATGAAAATGCATATGAAGTCCAGAAAAAGAGGCCATTTGTAGGCTATTTGTAACAAGTATTTTGAAGATTCCATCCATCCAAGTGTTATATCACTTAAATATGGAGTGCTTAAAATGATATTATTACATTCAAACTCTTGTTAAATTCAGAAGTTGTAATTCTAAAATTGGTTCCATATTAGACAAAGTTTAATCTGTATTTCAGTGAGTAGTATAATACCTGGCTGATAGTAAGCTCATTTGTCCATTTAAAAAATATTTGAGTCAGGCCCTCTGGTAAGTCATATGCCCTTATAAGGCTAGGAGGACACAGTAGGTATCAGGGCTTTCTAAAGTAGAAGGACACAGGTCAATCCTCCTTTCATTGGGTTAAGATTCCAAAAGGCACTACCCTAGGAGTAGGGCAAACTAGAAGAACAGGCTCTCACAGGAACTGTAACTCAGTTTTGAATCAACTCAATCATTAAACTGGTTTGAGATAATCCTGGAGCCTAAAAGAATGGCAAAAACAAACATAAATCATATCCAGAGCAAGATAGCATTACGTTATACACTCATAATTTCTACACACAATTTTGCAAATACAATGTAAAGCTCACGTATATATACATACCTACAAATAAGTAACTAGGCTCATCAATCACATCAACTTGTATACATTGAATATATATGCATATGTATGCTTTTTGTAAGTCAATCATACCTAAATAAATTGGTTTAAAATTTTTAAAAACCAATTAAGTAACCAGGCATAGGAGGACACAAGAGAAAATATATATATATATTAAAAAAAGGAAAGGAAAAACAGGCAACCCATGGAGGCTACAGATAGTGGAATTAATAGTTATGGGCTTTAAAATACCATGATAATTATGTGACAAAACAATGTAGAACTAAAAAATTAAAAACTTAATGGATGTGTTTTAATAATGCATTAGAAACATATAAAGAGAAAAATAATAGATTTGGAAGACAGATTAGAAGGAATACCCAGAATAAAGTACATAGAGAAAAAAGAATGGAAAATATATAAAACAAAGTGGGAGACAAAGAAAATTTAGTGAGGTCTAATATATGTGTAATTGGATTTTCAGAAGGAGAGAAGATAAGAAGAATGAAGCAGAAATTACATTTGAAGATAATGGCTGAGCAATTTTCAAAATCAACAAATAATATCAAGCAATGAATTCAAGACACCCTAAAAACCCCAAGTAGATTGCCATACCTAGAAAATAGGTACAAAAAATTTGTTTGATAAATTCAACACCCACTCAAAATAAAGTCTCAGCAAACTAGAATAAGTAGATAATTTCCTTAATTTGATAAAGAATATCTAAAGAAAATCTACTACAAATTTATACTAACTTGTGAAATGTTGAAACCTTTTATTCCAAGATAAGGAATGAAAAAAGGATGTTTGTGGTCATTTCTTCTAGTCAATATATCCTAATATGAGGGTGACAGGAGCTTTGACTTTGGGTGGTGGGCACAGGGTTCTATATACAGATTTTGTAAATTAGTAATCTACACATGAAACCTCTATGTTCATTTTGAGTAATGTAACCGCAATAAAATAAAATAAAATAACCCACAAAAAAACAAAACAAAAAAAACCCCAATATATTCTAAAGGTCCTTGTCAATACCAAGAAAATAAAAGTAAACTCATATTTCTATATCATATTAGGGTTATTAGAGTATTAAAATTTAAACCAATGTTGCTGGCTGGTATGGCTCAGTTAGTTAGAGCAACATCCTGTATACCAAACGGTTGCAGGTTTAATTCCTGGTCATGGTACATATGTAGGTTTCGGGTTATATATCCATATGGGAGGCAACCAATAGATGTCTCTGTCTCTCTCACCCCCCTCCCTCTCTGCCCCTCCCTCAGCCTCCGCTTCCTCTAAGTATACCCTTGAGTGAGGATTAAAAAAATTAAAACAATGAGATACTACTTCACACTTATTAGAATGGCTAAAATCCAAAACACTGACATCCATGTTAGTCAGAATGTGGAACAACAGGAACTCTCTTTACTTGTAAGTAGGAATACAAAATGGTAGTCACTTTGGAAGATAATCTGGCAGTTTCTTACACAGTTTACCATATGATCCAGTAATTGTGCACCTAAATATTTACCCAAATGAGTTGAAAATTAATGTTCACACAAAAACCTGCACACAAATGTTTATAGAAGCTTTGTTCATAACTGCCCAAAATGGGAAGCAACCAGATGTACTTCAGTAGGTGACTGGATAAACAAACTGTGACATATCCAGACAATGAAATACTAATCAGTGGGAAAAAAAAAATGAGTTACCAAGCCACAAAAAGACAGAGAAATCTTTAATATACATTGCTAAGTGAAAGAAGCCAGGCCCAGCCAATGTGGCTCAGTGTGGCTCAACGGTTGAGCGTCGACCCATGCACCAAGAAGTTGCTGTTCCGATTCCGGGTCAAGGCACATGCTCAGGTTGCAGGCTCAATTCCCAATAAGGGGCATGCAGAAGGCAACCGATTGATGTTTCTCTTTCATTGATATTTCTGTCTTTCAGTTCTCCCTCTCCCTGCCTCTCTCTTTAAAAAGCAATAAAAAAAAATACAAAAAGAAAGAAAAAAAGAAAGAAGTCAGTCTGAAAAGGGTATATACTGTACGATTCCAACAATATGACATTCTAAAAAAGGCAAAACTATATATAAAGACATTAGTGATTGCCAGGGGTTCAGGAGTGAGGGGGGAGAGAGATGAATAAGTAAAGCACAGAAGATTTTTATGGTAGTGAAACTACTGTGTGTGATGCTGTAATGTGATATACATTACATTAATAATACTTAATAATAATGTGTCAATCTTGGTTCATCAGTTGGAACAAATGTACCACATTAATACAAGATGCTAATAATAGAAGAAATGCTGGGGAGTTGTAGATGGGAACTCTATGTACTTTCTGCTCATGTTTCTGTAAACCTAAAAATGTTCTAAAAATTAAAATCTACCAATTTATAGTGGACAAACGATTCATTCAGATTGCCTATCTTCTTAATAGAGTTTCAGTAGTGTATTTCTAGGAAACTTTCCATTTTACTTAGGTTAATTTGTTGGGATACACTTGTTCATATTATAGCCTAACTAGAGGCCCAGTGCATGAGATTTGTGCACTGGGGCTGGGAGATCCCTCACCCCGGCCTGTGCCCTCTTGCAGTCTGGGACCCCTTGGGAGACGTCTGACTGCTGGGTTAGGCTCTATCTGTCGGCAGCCCTCTTGCAGTCCGAGGTTCTTGCAGTCTGGGACCCCTCACTCCATACCTCCCACCTGAAGCAGAGGCATGAGAGGCTCAGGTCACCGCCACTGTGCTCGCCAGCCAGGCTCGCTGCTCCTTAGCGCTGCCTTGGAGATGGGAGAGGCTCCCGCCACTGTGCTGTGCTTGCCAGCCAGGCTTCTGGCTGAGCAGCACTCCCCCTGTGGGAACACACTGATCACCAGGGGGTAGCTTCTGTGTTGAGCATCTGACCCCTGGTGGTCCATGCACATCATAACGACCAATCGATTGTTTGGTCGATTTGCATATTATGCTTTTACTATATAGAATTATGATTTTATTTCTGTGAGGTTGGAATTAATATTCCCTGTCATAATATTAGTTATTTGGGTCTTCTCTAGTTTTTCTTTGTCAGTCTAGCTAATCTTTTTAAATCAGCTTTTGGTATGGTTGATTTTTTTAAACTGTTTTTCTATTCTATATTTCATTAAGTTTCATTTTAATCTTTATATTTCTTTTCTTATGTGTACTTTAGATTTAACTTGTTCATCTTCTTTCAGTATCTTAAGGTAGAATTTTAGGTTATTTTTGACATAATCTCTATCCTATTTAATAATACAGAAACATGGTAATTAACCGTAACTTCGCTACCCTCCCCATTGGCTAATCAGCGAGATATGCAAATTAACTGCCGACAGCCAGATGGCAGCCGACAGCCAGGCAGCTGAAGTGAACAGGAGTCTTGCTTCCTCCAGTGATGGAGGAAG